ACCTTTCCCGAACTGCCTCAGAGAAGGGTATAGTTTCTTGACAACGTCTAACAGAAGCTATACTTCCCTCTTGAACACCGTATATACCCGTAAGGGATTCCCTGTGCCGTGTCGTCGTTATAGTGTGAAAATTAAGAAGGCTTTCATCTATAACAATACAATTACGAAATATATCTGATACTTATCCATATATAATTTCTTTAATATTTCACCATAATCATCCTCTTGCATCAAGTCATTGTATGAGTTTTTGCTCTATTTGTAATAAAACGAAAGAGTTGTTTTTTAAACTTTTTCATGATGGTCATGGCCCTGCAAGTGCATATCATACATATATGGAGGAAATACAATTAAAATATGAGAATGATAAAAGAGTATTAGCCGATAGAGCTATTTGTTCAAATAGACAAGATATTTATTACCTTCACAAAAAGTTTCTTAATCAATCTGTGGGTGCGAGAAATGGAGAAGAAATGTTTAATCAGCTAACTAAAGAGGTTGAAGAATTCAATGCTAATGGAAAAGGACATGTGTGGATGCAACTATATATTTCTTCAACAAGTGTTAGTCTTGGGCAACCATTTGTTCTTGTAATTATAACCAACCTAATGAAACGTTGTTATTCTTTACAGCAAGCAGGAGAATTAGTATACATGGATACTACAGCTGGCCTTGACATTCTTAATACTCCATTAACAATTCTCTCTACAAGCATGTCTATTGGAAGCTTACCACTTGCGGTGATACTTACATCAGATGAAACTGCATACACTTTTTCAGAAGCTTTGAATGCATTAAAACGTATACTGCCAATAACAGCATTTAATAGCCGTGGACCCATAATTGGACCAGAAGTAATTATGACAGATGATTGCAAGGCAGAAAGGATGGCATACATAATACTTGGGATGAAACGACCTTGCTACTATGTGTTTTTCATCTTCTACAAGCAATGTGGAGATGGTTATAGGATGGAAAGAATAGTATTAATATGAACGATCGTGTTTTTATAATTAGGTATTTGAAGAAGATTGTTTTTGCAAGAACCGTAACTAAACTTGAAGAAGAATATAAAGTATTAATAGTAAGTCAAGTATACTTGAAATATCAATATTTTCAAAAACACTTTGAAACTATATAGAATCGTCATAGAGAATGGGCTATCACATTTTGTCAAGAGTTACCAATTCGTGATAATCATACAAATAATTTCGCTGAAAATGGAATCTGAATTATAAAGGATATCATATTTGGCCATATACAGGCGTTTAATATCATACAAATATTTTATTTTATAATTAATACAATGGATCTTTATTATACGTGCAAACTACTTTCTGTAGCTCACAATAGGCCTAATAATTTTACTGCACTTCGTTTTTGGCTTTCAGGCTGGAGGCTTGAATCTAAAGATGACATTAAAATTATAAGTCATGAATCATTTGTATTTAAACATCAAAGCAGTAAAGATCCTAACAAATGGTACCTTGTAAACATGCAACTTGGAGTATGTGAATGCAGCCCCACGGGTGTACTATGCAAGCACCAATCTTCAATATCAATTCATTACCATATATGTGGCTTAAATCAAACACCTACACTATGTGTAACTAGTAGATATCATTACACCTATTTAGCACTAGGTAAAAAATGTAAAGAACTAAGTTTTTATGCAAGCTTACATCAAGAAAAAATTCATCAAGATGAATTCTTATATCCAGCAATAAACAATAATTTAGTTGATAATATCATTAATGAAGGCTGCAATAACAATTTTCAAGATTTTAATGATAAGGAAAATATGTTGCCTGAATTATCAGTATCTGCATCTTCGCAATTCTCAATTAATAAAGCTATCTGTGAAGTAGAAAGTATTAATAATGAAAGTAATGATGAAGATAGTATTAATAATGAAGGTGACAATGATGATAGTAAAGATAACAATAGTATAAACAGCAATAATAGTGATAGTGAAACTGATAAAGGCCTTCATCAATTGGCTGTAAATGAATTCCGATAGTTCTACAATGACTTAGAAAATCTTCTAGAGAAGAATGATCTTACATTTGATAAAAGCATACAGAAATTTGTTAGTGCATATAAGAAACGCTGTTTAGTACAAGATACCCATATCTATCCATCAATTTCCTTTTTTTTTCAAACATGTAATTGGAATGCAGAGCGTGTAAATAGTAGTAGTTATCAACATGGAGGTAAAAGAATTAGAGTCCAAGTTGTTTCGAGTGCTAGATGTAAAAAATCTTTAAACAAAGGGCAGAAAAAAGTGCAGCAAAAAGACCAAATGCAAGATACTAATATGTATGAAGATAAAGATCCAAATCGGTTTATAATGCCTATGCAATTAAAAAGACTACAAAAAAAATGACCACACAATTTGAATCAAGCATTAATTGAAAATCGCCCGAATGGTTCTTAATTTTTATAATAATCAACAGTAATACATAGATATTATAAAGTTGAAAAGTTGAGATCGAAATGTAATGCTTAAATGCATAGTTGTAATAAATCAATGTGCTAATAATTTACATATCATTATACATACATATGTACTGTAAATCGTTTAGAAATACATATGTGCATACATAATACATACAGATTTAATATTAATTGCACTGTCGCTATGCGTCGCTATATATCAACATTTTTTAGATATAGCACTACATTATTACAAAATTAAAAAGTTCATAATATTGATAAAGCAGTTAAATTTTAAAACTAATAACTTTAGTATATATTGCACTTTGCTAATTTTTATAAAATGACTGTAATGCAACTGTAATTGTGATTGCAATCATACTAGAAGTTAGGAATAATTTGATAAAAATTTGGCATAATTTGCAAAATACAATAAATTTACTACATACATACAAAGCATAATAAATTTATTGTGAATATGCAAAATGCAATAAATATATAAATTGAAATTAATTATTTGTGTGTTTAATTAATATCGATATGATTAAATATTTATACATATCTAAAACTAGTATAAAACCAGTTTAAATATATAATCGATGTCACATGATCAAAAACCGGGCACAGATTTTACATATGCATAATGAACATTGTTGACCTAATCAAAAGCAAAAATAACAGAATCAAGCTAACTAAAGTCAAGAGCCACAGTAATGATAAGTGGAATGACAGAGCTGATACACTCACAAAGAAAAGAGCAGCATATAAAATGGCAATATTGATAGAGAAGATTAGGTGTAACAGAATAGAGTACTATCTGGAATAGAAAAACAAAAAAGTTGATATACCAACATGACTTCTCTGCAAAATAGTTGTGAATGCCAAAGTAGGAGCCAG